ACGGCAGACTCTAATCATTTTCACAGCCGCATTATCCATAAATCAACAATTTCAGAACCAACTGATGGAGATTCCCGTGGATTGCGATTGCCGAACGATACCACTGATTCAACATCCTCGACTCGTCGTCGATGGGGCGCATACCATGTGGCCGGCGCCGTTTGGAAAGCCGAAGAAGGTGAGTGTTACGGGGTTCAACTTGCTTTAGAAAAATTCTCGTAATCAAGGTCCCTTCCTGAATGCGCCTTCATTAGAGCCAATGTTCATTTTGCAAAATGTGTGATGAAACCATACAGCACGGCTTTGCTGGTTTCTTTTCGGTTCTTATATGAGAGTTCTTTCTACACTCGTCATCCGGGCAGTTGATTAGGGCGGTCGTCAAGAGGCCGCAGACGCGGCTGCAGCTGCAACCGCGTACTTAGGAACTGCGATCAGCCGTTTCCGGCCTGGTTTAGTCATTTTTTCCTACTTTTCACTGTTTTTGGCTGTTTTTTCAAGGTTAACTGTTCCTTGTCTTCACAAGATAAATTATGATTGAGTTTTTTCTAACTTTTGCGAACAATTAGACGATTAAACAAACAATTAAACAAACACCTAAAAATCGCGAAAAACACTCCATTACAAGAACAAAAAGAATTCACGTCTCGATATACTTCATATAGGCAATAAAGCAAATGACCTTGAAAAAACAGCCAAAACAGTGAAAACTAGGGAGAAAATTGCTAAATTAGGGTGGAAACAGCTGATCGCAGCGATCGTGACGCGCTGCAGCCGCGTCGCGTCACTTGGGCCGGATAATCAACTGCCCGGATGACGACTTTAGGTTGTGTCGGGATGCTAGGCCTAATAGGTATTTCTATTTTTTTTCTACGGCAGTACTTGAGCATGGACTAGGGGCAACACGCGGTACCGCGCGGATGGGTGCGACAATCTTCCCTAGGCAGCGTTCAGGCTTTGCAACGGCAGCTTTTCTTTCGCGAATACAGCGGTCGGTCGTACCAGCGATTGCGTCGTACGCGCATCTGATTTGATTTGCGCTCCAATGCTAAAATTGAATAGACCGCTGCTGCTTCAACCACGCATTCTTTTACCAGAAACGAGAAATCGGACTTCTGCGCAATACAGTAAACAACCACCTAGACAGAAGTTTCAAAAACACTTTTTAGACAGGAAATAATAATAATAAAGAGAAACAAAGAGAAGTCACCCAAGAATGAACTTTTGCAGACATGAGATAAACATCAACATCATCGTATTGCAGTACAAAGAGGAGCAATAAACGAGGAAAAAAATGAAGGGCTTGTGCAGAAAGGCCAGTAAAAAAGGGGCGAGAAAGAAGGCTCTAAAGCACATATATGATTGGAGAGAATAAAAACGGTAGCAAAACCACACTAGAACTAAACGAAAAACTCACCTCAGTAATCAGGAACCTGCGCGCAATCAACAAGCGGCATGCATCTTGCGACCCCCCCCTTTTTTGGAAATCGGTACGACCCCCCCAGCGGGGTGGGGGGGGGGGGTAAATAGCACATGTGAAACAGGAAAAGCCGCGAGACAATACGACCCCCCTCTACAATCAGATTTTCCCCAACTTCCCTTTTTTCCAAAATTTCCCGAAAACTTCCCTACTTTTTACCAAAAATTTTGCTGTCGAGCGGGGGGGGGCATATAGTACGTGAAACAGGAAAATCACCAAAAGTCAACCGCCACTCCCACAACGCCAAAACGTAAATACGACCCCCCCAAAATGATCAAATACGACCCCCCTCCCTTTACAACGTCCATGAAGCGAGAAAAATCAACTATCAAAATAAATTTTTCTCAGCCCAAATACGACCCCCCTATTGGGGATTCCCCAACAACGATGTGCCCTGACAAAAAAGCAGAAATAAACTAATACGTTGTTGAGGTAGCAGCGGTCCATTCATTTTTAGCAATGGAGCGCGACCGAAACGCTGTTGTCGCGAACTCTAAACCCCCTCAAACGCGCATGCATTGTGACTATAGAACAACCTACCACGCGCAGAGATGTAGATCGCATACCTTCAGTTACAAGCAGAAGTGTTAGCTCATGATCACATCCCTTCGAGGCATGAAAAAGGGGGTAAAAACGGTCTGAATTGCAGCAGAAATGGCGCGTAGGCTACTCAGATTTTCCATGACGATACCCCTGGGGGTGAACAAGCTCTGTGACCACATGCCTATTGATCAATCGATTCGACTGGTTCCAGTTCTTGATGAAGTGCGACGTGCGCTTTTCTGTCGCATCGCATCCGCGCGTTCGTTCAGCTCTTCAGTACTTGATTTTATTTCGCTAACCACTTCACTTCCCAATAAAAAAGCGATTTGTGAGGAAATAACAGATTTTCACAGAGCTGCGCCTTTCAAAAAGAACCGTTATCGTCTATCCCTTGCCTAGAAACTTCTTTCATCAAATCTTTACTTTCAGGCTTCCAAAACTTGTCGGAATGTAACGCCAGCGAAAATCGACAAATGCAGTCGATACCTCTTTCCATTGCTCTTTTCCGCGTTCAATGGTGAGTTAAACTCGTCCAGTATTCGTCCGTGACTCCTCCCCCTTATGATGATTTCTCATGATTTCAGTTATCTACTGGACGATAATGACGGTGCTCAGTTCGATAGCGGAAGATCTTGATAAAGATGAATGGGTCCCGATTGAAATCGAGGATTGACCGCTACCGTGCCATACGGCGCCGCGTCGCCCCGTTGGCGCCGCTGCGCCATGCCTCCAACCCCGTGACCACAATACAGCCCTGCCCAAAAATCTGACATTACATTACATAACATTACTGACACACAAATGACCTGGTGCACCTCATTACTACCGATGATGTTTATGTGTGTATGTACCGTACACTCCGCGTTAGAACAGCGTTATCAAACAACAGCGGCATAGCCGCCATTAATCGATTAAATCGATCGATCGATCGCTGACAACAAAAGTCAATAGTTATGAAAATTTGCATGTGCATGTGATTTGGTAACACTGTTCGTGTGCGATCGAGTTGTAGAGTTTGTGTTATATAGACGTATATTATTCTCTCGAGCATAATCAATACGATATGTGATTATTGATCGGTTTATTGATTGATTTCTCCTCGCCGCCGTCAGACAGCCGGTCCAATCGCTCCTCTTCGTTTAACCTCTGGCTGTGGTGAATCGACTGAGGTGCACCATGCGTATTGCTCAAAGCCGCCTCTTGTGCAGCTCTTCCTCTGCTCTGCTCCTTTGTCCTTTTTCACCTTCGTCGTCCTTCCTTCCCTATCACCCTCTTCTTACGTTTTACTCAATTGTTGCTTGTTTTTTACTGATGTACATAATGTTTAAATCATTTTCATTTCAGAACTATATAGGAAGAAATATGTTGATTCATTGGGTATCGATTGATTGAAAATTGAAAATCGAAATAAACGAAATTAAGAAAAAAAGCAAAAAAAAACAAAAAAATTTAGATGGTTACTCGACAACAGCCATCGAGTACCATTGGTGTGGAGCAGCGAATCCGAACTGTCCGACAGCCGTGGTGGCCGATGATGTCGAACTACCTTCGTACCGCTTCGCCAAAGTGTGCATGGACAGAACAATGGCCACTACCGCTTCGGGTAAGGGTAAACCACAAGTTTACTGAGTACCAAGAGCCGCAATTTTATTGCGTCCAATCGGTCTTCCAAAAATACGCTGTACACTTATACTCCTTATCCCTGAGAAGGAGTAGGCGTGGCTTTTGAGCATGGCATAGGACGGGTTACTCGTGGGATATTTCAATTTCAAACAACTGCCACCTTGTTCTGTGTTAAATGTAAACATGATTACGACTGTTTCAAAATGAAAATATCTCACGAAAACCTGGGCCGCAGCCACTTTAAAATTAAGTGTGCAGCCCCGCCTACCCGATCTCAGGGATTTCGAGTATACTTCCGAGGATTCCGGCTATGTGCAATATGAAGGTACACAGCTGTGAGGTGCCCCCTCATTCGTCACTCAAGTGCGCGAAAATGAGCAGTGGGTAAAATGCCGAATACCATTTGCAATAGGTAGAAGCTGAATGCCATTTGTGCTCCACCCGCAGGCAAACCACGCAGCAGATGACACACTGCACTACCGGCTACAGTCGTTATCCCCGAAAATGATCGCGCGCAGGACCGGAAAGGGATGGGTCGAGCGCAGCCAGCGCGGATTCTTCACCAATGGACTCATGACGACACTATTGTTCAGACAAAGCACCCTGGCTGCGCTCCCAACCGCGCCGCGTCAACGCCCCAATCGTTTGCATGTATCACCACAGTATATGTTTAGGCGAGCCAATAGGAGAGGTGGGCGGTTCTGCAGTGAGCCAATCAGGTGACGCCGCCCATGTTCGCGCGGCGAGGCAAATGGAGCGGCAATTTCAGAATTGCTTACCATACCTGTGGGATGTTATTGGAGCATGAGATTTGCTTTGGTTCACGGCATCTTCGACTAACATTCCGTTGGCGCACCATCCTTCCGTGACCCTTTACAATTCGAACAAACTATGAGACAACACATTCGTGCCCAACGCTGCGGCGTCGCCAGCCACGCCCACCAGCGCGTCGACCTAGCAGTGCCCCACGACTGAATCGACACATACCCAGTCAACAGCACTACTTGTCAGCGCCCCTCTCATTTGCTTAGGGAGCTGTTGTTCTTCACAATTAGCCGCAATAAACAGCTTGCCATTCACCTTAATCGCAGCGTTCATACTTGTAGCGCTACAGCGTCGCGCTACAGCGTAGCACTACA